ATAAATTATTATTTTATTTAAAAAATACTAAATACAATTAAATTTTCCAAGCAAATTTGCCTGGAATACAGTTTAAGAAATAGATATGCATTATTTCAGGATATGCATAGACATTATTTTGAAGCTATATATATTATTTTTAAAGATTACAATTTTCAAAATAATGCTCATGATTATTATTTTGTGAAAATATAGTATTAATATTATATAAAATAACAATTATAAACAAATTTTATTATATAACCAGCTAATATTACATGAATATAGGTCTGCAATGACTTTGTTTAAAAATTTCTGATTGGTAAATCATTCACATAATTGCAAAAAATTTGTTAATAATACTGAAGAAGATAGCAAAAAATTGCAAATTATATGTTAATCATAGAAATTTAAAACAAACATTTCTCTTGTTAAAATTATTTATTTCTCAAAAATTTGCATAAAAAACAACATAGTTCTTAAGCAATTTTACTATATAATCTTCTGAACTCCAACACTAATATAGACAATAACCTTAATATAAACAAACTTAAAAAACTTTGTTATTGATTATATAGTCAAAATTTTTGGTGATACTAGAGTAGTCATTTTGATATTATCTTCAATCAGTTTTCTTACAATATAATTAGGTGTTAGTAGGTATAATAGAAAACTATCTAAGAAAAACTTGTTATTAGAACACTAAAGATTGTTCTTGTTTGTTTTGAATTTTTCTGATCGACCTGCGATCTACAATTCCTGCCCGAATTCTCACGTGATATTCAACATCAGCCAAATTCAGCATCAGCCGTGACATTTAATAATAACAAATTAAATAGCGTGCATTTTACAAACTCATGTAAACCCAATTCCGCAAATCCACTGGTATGTTTATGAATGGGATATTTAATTGCGCTGAGTGAATAGATTTAGGGTAGGGATTACTTAATTTGTATGCACAATAAAAACTGTTAATGAATAAACCGATACCAACCCATAGCTTAAGCTGAATGTCGCGTCAAATTCATATCCGCATCAAATTAAAATAATTATACTTAAGATAGTGTTTGTAGTCGATTGTGTATTAGTCGATTTTATCTTATCGGCTTAGCCGGCTTAGTCAGCCGATTTTTCAAAAAATAGGCTTAGTCGATTTTATGTTAGACTATATTAAAAATTAAATAACCAATCAAATTTGGGCCGATCTGGAGTTTACATTATCCTTCCCGAAAAATTCTGAAAAGAATTCAACGAACATAAAATATGAGACAAAAATTTGAAGAAAAGCATCTGATAATTTCCAAAAGTTAAACAAAGATGATCGACTTCGACTTAGCTGGCAAAGCCGAGTTTTAAAGATTTGTAATCACATTAACAATTATTGTCAGACTTTAAATTTTAATTGTCACGTCGCGTGATGTCAGTATTATTACCTGTCGAGATTTTGGATATTGGTAGAACCATTCACCAGATATTCATTGAATATTGATAATTATAGAGTTGTTAATTCAGGACAAATATTATAAAATCAAGTTGATTGCTGATTTTAAATATACAAGCTAACAAATAATCTTTATACTTACAAGTTAGAGAAAACTAAATTGTTTTCTAGTAAGAACTTATTTATTTACTTTGGGTTCACGATTATTAGCATTGCTAACTAATCAGAATACAAAATCGGGTATGATATATTAATATCTGAACTTGAATACTCGAATATGAAGTTGTTTCACTGAATTGAATATTAGAATATAAAAATTATTCAAATAATTCATTGAATATTTGATGAATATATCTTTACTATTCAATCGACTAATTAAAATACAATTCAGTGAAACAATTACATATTCAAGGATATTCAAATATACAATTTAATGAAATAATTATATATTCGAATAATCGAATACTATTCATTCTCTATATTCAACCCTCTCTTATATCACTGGTACTTTTTTATGCTATGCGATATTATTATTATAATTGTTGCTAAAATATTTAGTTTTTAGGGCATAGCTTTCAGAACAATACTCGTGAGATAATCTATTTACCTGCATATGAAAGTAAACGATCTTTATATAGAATTTATGGTAACTTAAAACATGATGGAGTAAATGAAGTTAGTTTATTACGCATTCGAAAGTGATATCTCTCCGAAATTCAGCTCATGACAACACGCAATGATTTATACATGCTTTGCGAAAAAAAAAAAAGGTTGAATTAAAATATTGGAATGCGAATAAAGAAGTATTACAAAAACTAAATGAATAGACAAATCATTATAATTGGGCACGCTTAGAACGCGAAAACTATAGGTGACAATTTGAATTAATTATTATATTCAGTATACATATATAGCTAATTTATATTTACTATAAATTTTAGAGATTGTAATGCCAGATTCAAAATAGCTTTAAATTTTCTAAATAATCCTTCACGACCTGGAATTCCAAATTCAATCGACATCGAAAATCATATCTCATGAAACTTCGCAGAGAATGTACATATTCCTTATTCTTCACAACAGGAGGGGACGACGTATTTTAAGTCATTTTATAAGATTGAAGTATTCGGTGTATGCGAGGAAGCAGTACCACTCTTATATATTTCGCAAGATTCATCTTTGCTGGCTGTGAGATAGTGATATCAGATTGGGTAGCATTGCAAGTATGAATAACGGAAGTTATAAATGTGCTGTAAATTACAATAGGCAACGTAATACATCAAATCAATAATATTAAAAATGATTTCTGCTAATGATGTACATGTGATGAACTATTACATATGGGCAATGAAGAAGTATTAATGATTCATAATACAACACATGAAGACTGAGCGTTGATACAGTACGTCCAAATTATCCAAATGTTGATCCGAGTTATATTGCAGGTGTGGTGTTAATGTTACAAACCAGGTTCTAAGCGACGATTCAAGAATCGGAATTAGTGAATCACTAACTGATGTTTGATTACATCTTATTGCATATATGTTTTGAAGAATACGTCCCATTATTTCACAAACAATTAAACCGTGACATAATGTGGGACGATTCTCCATGCTTTTTTGATTTCTTATTAACTTGTATCGAAGTTTTATTATTTGTAATGTCAGGCGATGATATTAAGTTTGTTGCATGTTCCATTTTGAATGGAAATGGTTCGTATTCATCATCTTTATTTTCTGATGGGTGTGCGGCATCTACATCCTTTTCAACAATAGCCAATGGGCGTCCCAAATGTACGCTTGGTATCATATAAGCATAAGATAAACATAGAGCATTAATCTTGATATAGGTGAATGTCCAATTTACGAATTGTTCAATAGATACGGATTTCTCCAAAAGGTTTAACAACTTGATTTTAGATTATCTTGCTAACTTTTTGTGATAATCTGTATGAATGTATATTTACCTGTCAAGAACGTAAGCACAAAAGATACGTTTTTGTTCTTCCTTTTCTCCATGAGATAATGTGGTTGGATGCCACTTTTCGTTATTACGATGCATACCTAAACTCTGTGCCATTCTTGCTGTCATAGATCCAAGATCTCATAACTTTACTGGTTCCGTACTCTCTAATAGATAATAAGAGCAAAGCTTGAATGTTTGTTGCGTGGACTCTATCATAATAATTGTCGAGCAAAGCCTTTGCACGATCAAAATAAATATCTCAAACAAAAATTGAAAACTAATGTCATAATCATTTGTGTTACGCCGCACCAAAATTGTCACGGTAGATTCTTGATTTTGATTGGCTAAGAACGACGATCAAAAATTTAGGCCGATCACTAAGGTTGTTAATGGAGTGACATACTTCGGAGCAACTCCAGAATAAACCCAACCCAAGTTGGAGTGGGTTAAAAATATGCTAGAGTGAAATTGGAGTAAACTGAAGCAGCTCTAAGCAATCTAGAGTGGCTCCAGAGTGAGTCCAAAGTGGGTTGAGGAACTACCGATCACACTTGATCTTGAAATCTGATTGGTCAGTGAATTTTTTAGGTTGGTAACGCTAGCTAGAGCTTGGATCCTGTTATCCATTGGAAGCAAATTTAATAGTAAAATCTGCCGGATATCCGTTAGATGTAATATGAAAACGGATGACCGGATACTCTAGTGCTAGGAGATCTGGTTTTTAATACAGTATCAGATTTTGCGATTACGTAACTGATTTTGGTGGCCGGCTAAAGCGGAGTGAAGTTTAGAGTTACCTTTTTGACGCAGTTATGGTTAGTGGGTTATATAGATATCAAGAATGTAATTTATACAGCATGTAAATCATATATCTGTATATTGAATTAACTCCGCTTTAGCCGACCCCCGATTTTGGCAACTACCCCAGCGTAACCATCAAAAAATCACGGGCACGTGATTTTTGCACGTCTGAAATGTGTGCCAGGTTAGAGGTTATGTAATTATATAGTAAAATCGCTCAAGAAAAACTTTTTGTTAGCGCAATAAAGCTGGTTTCTTATACAGATTTTCGAGAAACAAGATTTTTGACAAAAAACGAACGTTTGTTTTGAATTTTCCTGATCGTGTTACGTTACATCTGATCTTGAAATATGATTCGTAGTTTAGGCAATATGCGCCGCAGTTGCGCCACAAACCTGGCACACATTTCAGGCGTGCTTCAGACGTGCTAACGTAATACGATCAGGAAATTTCAAAACAAACGTTCGTCTTGTCAAAATCGCTTATTTCTCAAAATCTATAAAAAACCACCTTTAGTACTCTAACAAAAAGGTTTTCTTGAGCGATTTTACTATATAATTGCCTAATCTTTAATCTTATTCCAAATGTTAACCTTAACATTAATGTGATTTAAAAATTTGCTTGCGCCCCAAACCTGGCACAGAATTTTTTCATGCGATTTTGGTCGATAAGTTACCAAATCAGAACCAATAAGATACTGACGTTTGCTGATGTCAAAAACCTACTGTATCAATTCGGTCATTTTTCAAGTGTCTCAGAATTTATAGAAACCAGGCCTACCGAATAATTGATTGTGGGGGCAATTAATTGCAATATTTCGAACTCAATTAATTGATTGATGGCGC